AATTAAATTAAATTAAAGTAAATAAAATAGAATATAATACAATAAATTAAAGTAAAATTAAATAAAATAAAATAGAATAAAAGAAAATAAAGTCAAATAAAACAAAATTAAATTAAATTAAACTAAATTAAATTAATTTTAATTAAATAAAATTAGCTTAAATTAAATAAAAATAAAATTACATTAAATTGCATTTAACAAAATTAGAATTAGAATTAATTAAATCAATTCTTTAAATCCAGAAATACATTTTTTTAAATAACAACATCAAATCATAAACTTTCATTGATTATAAATTATCTACTTCTCCCTGCACCACTTCAGAGAAGCCAAGTTGACCCGTAAATTTTTTTCTTCATGAAATATACATATGTATTTATAAATAAATATAACCAACTACCTTAATTCGGAAAATTAAATTTTTCATTGCATTGCTTACCACCTTTGCTGTTTTATAGATCAACAAGAATTGATCGTAATGCGCACGCGCGCTATCCTCCAAACGCATTTGTCCCAAATCTTCCACTTCTAGGGGCTCTTTATAACCAAACCATAGCAGGGGAGTCAGCCACCAAAAACAAGCTTTCGAATAAAATGTTGCCAAAGTGTGTTTGTAGCCGATTTTCTCATAATCTTCTAAATAATCAGGGCGAAAACGCTGTAAAGAATGCAAAAAATTCGAGGAAAGATTAAAAGAGGCAAAAACTGCTGCTGTATTAATTATGGGAATTCTATTAAATGGAAAACTTGAAATGCAAAAATATTTCTCATACAAAATTTCTAATTTCCTTATAAAAAGAATAATTCGAAATTGGCGAGCCTTTTTTTAATTAAAGAAATATATGTATTAATTTTTTTTCGCTTTTTTATGTTACACATTCGTTTTATTTCCTCTTACCTCTTTGTATAATGTAAAACCATCAATTGCCGCCATTCCCATCAACGAAACAGCTGATAATACTTGCAGACCATACTCCATTTCGTAAATATTTTGAAAATAGGAAATCTCAGCAAGCTCATAAGTATGTATAAAACAAATAAATAATTCAACAATGCATGTAAAGTAGAGGTAGTCTGAAAAAAAGCAGATTTAAATAAAGCATTGAGTGAAGTGTACGATTGAAGAAAAATTCAAAAAGTTAGGAAATTTATGTTAACAAAAACATGAAAGAAAACAAAAAATACAAAAACTAGCACTTTTTCATATGGTCATTTAAAAGTTAGTATTTCATAGCCAAATATTGATTTTATTT